TTTGTGGGTTTTTATTACTAACTCCCTTTTTGTTTAGTTTCTTGTAAATATTTTATGTCATATTGTATATATTCATTGGGGATCTTTTAAAAATTGTTGTTTTTATGCCTCTCCCCCCCCACGAACAATATTTGTACATAAGGGGACTATTTAGGATTTTCGAGACGAAGAGGTATGTTTGTGGATGTGGTATGAAAGGTATGGATAAATGTGTTGTTTTGGTGATAGGAATATTGTTTAGTATGATAGGGTCAGTGGTTGTGGCTTGCTAAGTTTTATATTAAGACAAGTGATGACCATCCTTTTCCCCCAACCCCCTTTTGGCCTTGTGCCGCATTTGTTGTATTTACGACAATAAATATTCTAACTAATTTCTATTGATATCACTCGTGAACATTACATCTTTCCACACTCATAACAGACTGTGGAAATTATTCTTTATTTAGCTAAGACCTTGATTGAACTTTGTAGTTAAATAACATTCAACATTGTACTCAACATTAATTAGCTAAACTTACCCTTTTTATTACGGAAAAAGGGAAGCAACTTTCTTTATACTTATTGTTGAAATTTGTATATCATTGTTAATATAATATTTTATTAATGTTCACTGAGCTTGATTATTTTTCTCTCGTGTATTTTGTGCATTATTCATGTGAGGTGTTGTTTTACAAGAACACATCTTTCCTTCTTGATTATATTCACGGTGACCCTAGCCAACAATTCTTACAGAACCACTACACATACATATAAAAATAACTAAAATGTACACATTTTCAAATGAGATAATAATATGTAAATACACCAAATCTACAAATTTTTACTTGAAATTAGTTATAAATAAATAAAATAAGGAGAACATATGTTTTCAATCGTTACTCATATAAAAATAACCAAAATGTACATATTTTCAGTTGAAATGAATTATGTAAAAAGACCAAAACGTAACTATTTTTGAATTGAAAACACCTATGAATATATAAAATAACGATGATGTATTTTCAATTGAAATCATTCATATGAAAATATCCAAAATATATATATTTTCAAATGAAATGAGATATTAATATGTAAAAAAAACAAAAAAACGTACAAATTTTTGAATTGAAATCAGCCATCAATAAAATGATGAAAGCATGAATATGACAAATAAATCATTTGAATATTAGACTTCTTTTTTTTTTTTTTTAATAAAAACAGCTCTATTTTGTTAGTAAATCTTGTCTTAATTCCAGATGAACAATAATTCATTTTTTCTGATTTCAAAAAGCAAACATACAAATTTGGTGCTGAAACAAAATTTTGGTTATAATTTGCAAAGTTCTTAAATCATTAAATGTTTTATGTCTGAATGATAATCTGGCGATTTTGATTCACCACTCAGAAAATGGTTTTTATCAACAAGAGTAGCCAACTATGCATTCTTTTTTGCATGTGAGCTGCAACAAACCCTTTGCCATATTTGGCACATTTCAAAAGTTGATATTTTGAAATTAAGATAGAGATTGGGCAGCCTAAAAAGTTTTTTTTTCTTGGATGTCCTTAGTAGTGTTCAATCAAGTAATTTCATTAAAAAGATCATTTTGTGATAGCTGTTATATCAGAGTACATTGATTGTCAAAACTAGGATATGTTTTGTTGATTTTTGAAACACTGGAACATTTTTGCTATATTTTATGAAAGGTGAGAATGTATAATTGTTATAATGTCTATCATCATGGAGTTCAAGGTCCTCCCTAGTCTTGTGTTCTTTTTTGCATTCTCATCTTGCGGCCTCAGCCGAGATTGAACTCACTAATACTTTGATTGGTGTAGTTCATAATTTTGTCAAATAGCTGAATTCTTGATGCTTCACTAGGGCTATCAAGGGTGTTTTTATCGTGACACCAACACTAAATGGATTGCCAACCAAGGCTCAGATTTGAATTCAGAGTTTTCCTTCTCCTAGACCAGTTGCCATCCAAGGCTATAGAATCCAGTCTGTCCTGCTATTTACCCATAGCTGGAGGGAGAAGAAAGAGGATTCACACCTTTCCCAAGTGTGTTAGCACGTAAGTGAATGTAATGGATTCGACTGGAATTCGAACTCGGCTCTCCGATTCCTCAATCCAATCCGCTATCCATTACTTCACCGTGAAATTTGTATTAATTCCCTTGTGAAAGGCATGAATCTATCTTCCCCTGTAGCTATGGATTAAAAAGAAGTGTAGACCTAAAGTGACAGCCAGTCTCAATCCCAAACCATGAGGAGCTAAAAAGAAAGCACTCCACTGTCTTTCCCAGGAAGTCATGGCAATTCAGATAACAAGAATGTCTGTAGAGAGCCATGTTCACCTAAATCCTGAAAAGATAGGATTTTTTTTTTTAATTAAATGGTTCTATTCTGGAGATTTCTTAGTGAATAATGACCCACAATCTTATAGACCAATTTAGGCTAATACAAATCAAATTACTAGAGAATAAACAATTATATAATGTAAAAGACCACAAACATATTCAAAATATCCAAATGAAGAAATGAAGATCATTGCTTTCATTTATGGCTGCCACACGTGAGAGAGAAAGCAAAAACTGCTGAATCATATTTTATGCACAATTTTTATTTCCTAAAAGAAAAAAAAGGATTGAGAGAGAAAATGAATTCTGACAATAATAAGAAATGCAAGAGATGATCCTGAGTATGCAAACATAACAACTGCAAAGATAGCAAAAGATTTTCAGTCAAAAGTGATGCTGTGTATTTGAAAGGATTGGAAAAGAGTCTTCTACTATGGCTTTTTCTGAAAAACCAAATGAATTATTTGAAATTAAAACATTTGAACTTAGCAATCAACAAAAAGCATCCATCTAGAAGTAGGTAAGATCCATATGCTGGATTACTTGTTTCTCTTGAGATGAGGAATAAAAATGTTATACCTTAATTGGGAAATTTTCACACATCTGTATTCAGTTGATGCTACTATATATTCCAGTTATTACCATACATTCTAGTCTTTACAAAACTGCATTGGAATGAAAAAGGTTCATTTCCCAGGAATTTTTGCAAAATGAAATTCTCGAAGATGGAAGTAGGACATTGGTTTAAAGATAACAGAAGATAGTGGACCAAAATGGTTCTATAAAATTAATGTTGAAATTTTCTTTTTCTTTATACTTAAAACAACTGCCAACAAAATACACAAACACATTAAGCAGATTTGCTATTTTCATCTGTCCCCCTTGTCCTTAATATGTCTTGAAAAATGGGAGTGAGTGTAAAATTCTCTCAGCCCATTTTCCTCATTATGCTGTAAATGCTGCTTTCCTAAGTGTTGGGGTTACCAATGTAAATGGTGTTTTGTTGAAAAGATTAATGTGGCTGCGTGTTGAAGAGCATTTAACATTTATACATTTTTTTAAATCAAGGAAAAACAATGGAAAACCGATTTGTTTTTCAACAATAATATATGTATTAAAATCAACAACAAATACAAGGTAATTTTTGTAATGTGTGAATAAGGAGAAAAAAGTAGTTAGTTGAATATGGTGATATTTAAATAAGCAAGTTTTCTGAATATAATGTTCAGAGTTCTGTGTTAAAATAGAATGTGTATTCAGAAGATCGTACAGTTGTGTGTTTTGTAACTAACAGAGTTGTTGCAACTTGGCTTGTTCACAAAGAACTGATGGTGAATGATATTCAAGTTCTGTGTCTGTTTGTGTGCGTGCGGAGTGAGTAGAATGAATAATCTGTGTAGACGCGTGTGAGTAGTTGAGTTCTACTGTCTTCAACTCTACTGTTTAATTTGGGAATGAATCCGAACTTATATCAGTGGCTCCCAGCACGAACGCGGGATAAATTTTGAAAGAACACGAGAAATATCTGTATTGGATGAAAAATTAACCAATCCGTGATTTTATAACAAAAGCATGTTTGTGAGTTAACGGTAGGAAAAATTTAGTGTGGTGAATGCGATCAGTAAATTGTCCTGTGATATTTAGTATATATTATTTGACCAATCACAGTTGAGAAAAATGTGGGCGTGGCAACAATCACTACAATGCTCCAAATTTTTTCTAAGCTCTATACTAAACATTAAATCTGTTACGAAAAAGAACTAAACAAAATGAACACAAAACGATCAGCTTTAAAAAAGGACTCGTAACTGGAAAAACCGAATTAAAAAAAACAATGTTAACACACCCAACCCAGTTTCCTGAAATATTGAGATTGGTCATACTACTTGGGGGGGGGGGTTGTTTCCCTTCTTTTGTTACCCGATATTTTGGAAACCATAATCCGATTTTAAGTTCAAATAAAAAGAGCTCAAATGTGTTTAACAAAAAGGAGGTGAAAAGCTTAAATATACTGGGCCACGTAGTGCAGGCGAGACATTCAACTTAAAACACCCAAAATCCATATCACCTGTGAGTTAATCGTTTTTTTTTACAAAGTGTGAGTCCCAAATGAAACATCGGGCTCCGGCATGACACAATGATGTAAATTGAAAAATCGAATCTGGGATGCAGTCTGGGAGAAAGAAGTGGGAAATGGACTGTTGAGGGCATGGTCAACACAGAGGTTTGTATCGATTTTTGAGTCACGACGGTGTCACACGGCATTCTATGCAAGGCACCTCTAACTGGGCCGCGTAGGAATTTCTGGTTGAATTGTAAAGAACGCCCGAAATTTTAGAATGTAATCCGCCTAAATACCGGAGTACCAGCCGATTTACCAATTTTTTGAAAGCCTGAGTCCAAATTGAAAATCTGTCTCCGTTACGAATTGATGCCGTAAATGTCGGAAGTTGAATCGACATTTGAAGTTAATTGCAGCCTGGGCGTGAAAAGAAGTCAAAAACTGACAGCTGATTGGAGGGACGAACCGGAGCTTTTTATCGATTTTTTGCTGCACGAAGGGGTCTCGCACGCATTTTTGAAAGAGCCCGTAATCTGGTCGGGGTCATTCATTTCTGTACATATGGTATGGTGATGTGAGGTGAGACAATTGATGCTTGTAACTATACATTAGTTGGCGATGAGTTCAATGCTTCACAGTAATGCGGTAAAGGGGAGCAAGTGCTTATCCCAAGGATGCATTTGTATCCATCAGATGCCGATGTACCCTTCACTTTCAGAAGATCCCCATTCCCATTCGCACCCTGTTTTGCTATGACAATTAATAAGGCCCAAGGACAAACACTGTCTGTCACTGGTGTACACTTAGAGGAGAGCAGGCTACGTAAAGTTGACCGTGTGAGAAGCACAGAGTAGGACGTCTCCCGCACAATCTCAGGTGAGAGACTGGAGGAAGCCACACGATCTGGCGTTGGAAGCCCGATAGCGGCGAGCGTCCCCCCCCCATTTCAACAAATAGGATTATAAGCGCCCTGTTGTAAATTTCATCGTTGAATGTAAGAGCCATTGTTGCGCTTCTCTGAGTATGTCTTCGGACAAAATGTCCTTGTATTTATCCCAAAGTGATTTGGGATCACTGGGTTCGCACATTTGTAAGATTGTGGTGAAGAGGTGGCGCAAAGCAGAGGGCATTTTTAAAAGAGCTCCCTCACCCACTGTGGAATCCCACTGGCTGTCATCTTCCAAAAGGCCAAGAAGGAGGCAGGCCTCATGAAAAGTGTCACATAAAACTCCATTAACCGTCCGTAAGTTATTGTAGCACGTTGGACCACTAACTTCGTGCAAAAGGAGTCGCAAGTAAAAACATTCCTGTCGCGATGGGGGAAACTTGAATACCTTTCCGAGTCTGGCGTCTTTTTTGACGCCTGGATAGCCCTCGACGTTGGCCCCGCACTTCCGCCGAGACCAGGTTTTCTTTTTTGTCCACACGTAGTATGAAGGCACGTGTGTGTACAGTAGAGTCCTAGCAAAATTGTTCTGTCGACAAAATTTGAAGAACGCTGTAAGCGTTGTGTCTTTGGCACGCGCAGCCACATCCATTGATGTATCCACAGAAAAATAACGAAGTTCGTCGTTTTCTAGGTGCACAGCAAGATTGGACGATTGCTGGGAAGCGTTCGTGGATGGGGAAGCTGAATATGTGCCAAGGACCCTCTGTGCTGCTAATGACGCGACCTGAAAGGAAGTCCTGGATTTCGTCTACGGAACCTTCCTGCCTAATACCAAACATTGCAGCATTAGTCCCTTTGTTGATGTACTTGCATACATACTTGATGGAGCGAACTGAATGGCAATATTCGACATTGATGTGCGCATTGGACGCTTTTGTTAGCAGGGGACAGTATGGCACTACCCACCTGTTATCTACTTGGTGGCCCTTTACCACGTCTGTAAATCCTCCCTCAGCGGGACTCCTTCGCCGGTACAGTGGATAATCATTGCTCCCTGTAATGGTTTCGCTCACAAAATCTCGTGGGTACTGCCGGGTGCATTTGCCGTCGCTGTTGTGACAGCTGGTGTAATTGTAATGCGACCCGCAGGGACCATGAATCATGTTGGTTGTCACTATTTCGTACAATTCAGGGTCAGCCGAAGGATCAGGAATTTCAGCAGAAATAAGATGATCGATTTCTGTGGCCTCAATCTTGTCGCGTTTCTGCCACTCAATAGTGTGCATGCGACAGCAAACAGCCCCAAATACCTGTCCCTTTGTAATCACATCCATTAGCTTTCCCAACTTCAGATGGTAAACGCGCTCATTGAGGTCTGGACGGTGGTAGGCCGATTGCCCTGGCATAAGTTCTTTAGCAATTGCGTACCATTTTGGGTTACACGTGAAAGATATGAATAGGTCTGGTCGGCCGTACTTCTGAACGTATGTCATCGCGTCTTGCGTCCTCGCGTGAATGTATAGTGGACTGCCTGTGAACGTTGCAGGTGGTATGCACATCTTGCCTATGTTGCGTGGATCAGCGTCATTTCGTAAAGCATCACGGAGGTGAATGTAAGAGTCGCAGCGCAACTTGGTCTGATTCAAGAGTCTTTCGGATTCCATCTTAGCAGGCATGTCTACTATGAATCGATGGAAAATTTGCCGGCTTCGATGAAGATGATTGAATGCACCCTCATGTACCATTAATTGGTAGGCGTAGAAAGCCCTGCAAGACACTGTTGAAGGTATTTAAAGGGGGCGTGACTTGTCATTGATTAGTGTAGCCTGGACAATGGCCATGACTTAGACCAATGAATGAGCTCACGCAAAATGGAAGATGCTAGCGCGCATTCACGCACGCGCGCATGATTTGGCAAGCGCAAGGCTTGGCCGTAAACGGGGTCAAGCTGCCTGCTGCATATGCAGCTTGGCAGCTTGACCCGTGATGCCGGCGATGAAAATGCAAGGAGCTGCAATGAAGCGTTTGCTCGTTTGGTTTGTGCGACAACGAAAAGCCGCTAACCGTTTGCCGGCATTAGTTTTGAAATCGATTGGGAGGAAGCCCTGCTGTTTTAGCGCAAAAAATCCTCGTCAGGTCTGGGATGCGGCCTGGGCTAGAGGAAAAGGTTTAAAGAATTGGAAAATGGACGGCCGAGGGCGGTATCATTTTCACACAACACGTATGCGGTTTTTTTCAGTAAAGATGCGAATAAAGTCAGTGGTTATTTTGGTAAGATGCGACGATTAAAGCAAAAGTGTTGACAAAGTCGAATATATCATTTGTGGCTCAAAGTCAGACCTTGTGCAGGGATAAAAAGCACTCCACTCCAGTGCACGCACTGACCTGTTTCTTCCCGCGCATAGCGTGACCTTAAATCAATCTGCATTTAGGAAATACCCAAACGTAAAAACATTTTTAAGTGTTGAAAGATTGTCGATTTGCACTCTGTTTGGGGGGCGTCAGAGTTGAAACTTCACATGCTGACTCCCAATAGCCTCCTCATAAATCCGGTCGGTTTTTGCTAAAAACCGATATGCGGTTCAGGCGCAATCTGGGCGTATCGGTTTTTGGGTTTTATCGATTTTCCGCGCTGTTTAGGGGTCCGTGGTCATGAAACTTCTGGACAACACTTCTAGTGGTAGACTCTAAGAGGGTGTCAAATTTGGTTGAAATGCGATCATTCCTTCTGTAAGCAGTCGATTATTGTTTTTTTCGAGTATCGATTTTTTCGGAATCTGAGTTCGAACTCAAAAATTGGGCTCCGTCATGTCCTTACGGCAGCCATTTGCAAACTTGTGGTGAAAACCGCATCGAAATCGGGTGAGAAATGCGGCCTGGGCGAGGTAACAACGCCCAAGACAGACACACAGACAACATGAGAAATATAGATAGTATATATATATATATATATATATATATATATATATATATATATATATATATATATATATACATATATATATATATATATATATATATATATATATATATATATATATATATATATATATATATATATATATATATATAAACAAAGATATTAACAGGTAGAAAGAAAATAGAATTCTAATGAAGCTGTGCTTAATATTTATACCAAATGAAGCCTAGCAGAAAAAAAAAACAAAAAAAAGGGGCTCTTGTATAATTTAGATTAAAATAAAATGAAAATATCACAGTAATGTCATATTTAAAATAATACTAGTTATGCAAATGGTCAGAAAAAACAATTAATTTTAATTAATATATATAAGGACTTGAAAAAAAGATGATGTTTTTATATACTGTATATACTTGTCTAACGTACCATCTTGTGTATCATGCCACTCCTAAATTTTCACTTATAAAAATGATTTTTTCATGTATCTCGTGTATCATGTGAGTTCCTTTTTTGAGAGGCCAAATTAGAATAGACTAACCTCTTTTCCTCTATCTCTTTATCCAATCTTCTAGTTAAATAAGTTAAAAAAGTAAAAGAGAATGATAAAAGTATCATTAGTAGCATGATATATGGTATATATATTTTTCCTTTTTGGCATTATCAAGTAGACTTTTTTAAGCTTTCGAAAAATGTTTTAGGAAAAATATGTACAAAATACCTTGATTAGGTAATAATAAACTTAACTGATAAGAAACATAACTTCATTAGCCTTTCAACTCCTTCTTTTTAGCTACTTTTTCTTTGGTCTGAAAAACAAAAAAAAAAAGGGTTATAATTCTTTTTTTTTATTTATGTACACAAAATTGAAAAAGAAATGCTAGTAAATGTAATGGAATTTCTGGTAAGTCGGCAAGTTTATTTTCTAAGGATAAACATGCAATTTCATATTAACTGACAGACTTACAATGTTTATTAAGCTAAACAATGAGAGAATACAAGATTTAAAAAAAATATCTAATGCTGCTAGAAAAAAAAAAATAAAGTAGAAATAAAATTATACTCATTCAACAATCTTAGAATATCCTATTAATATTTTGAATGCTGCACAGATTGTCAAAACAGTTTCAGCTTCAAATAAGAAAAAATTTGAACATACATATTTTATTTTAAATTTTCAAATACAACTCAGACATTGCACTCATGCACATCATTAAATTTATGATTTTAAAAATTTACATGAAATTATTAGCTTATTATTATTATTATTATTTTATGAATATTGACTAATAAAGCAATAAAGATCAATACTAATAAGGCTAGAATGAGAATTTCATGATTTTAATTCATAAATGGATAAACAAAAAAAATGTCAAAGAAAAATACCTTTCAACTTTCAATCATGAATCATTTGTTAATTAACTTTCGAAAGCAACAGTCTGAGCTATGAAGAATTTCTCTATTTTATTTCATCATACATGTTAAAAAAATACTTTGCATCTAAATTTACCAACAAAGCCTTCTTAAAACTGTTTACAAAATAAAGTTATTGCATTCTATATCAGTGCTCAGATCTCTAGATCTAAATTGAGTAGCAGTCATTCTATCAATAAAAGTATATTTCATTTATGAATCTTATATCAAAACTTTCTTTTGTTATAGACAAGCGTATGGTTGCAAGAAAAAAATATGACAACAGCAGAAATAAATTTACATGATTTATTTCAATAGGAATGTGTGGGTTTGGGACAGCTACCTTGTGGTATAGTTCATAAGCCGGCTGCCGATCTGAGTTGATCTCTCATAGTAGTTTTCACTGGTTGGCGTGGTGCTCTTCCTGCTGACTGCCCAGACTGACCATGACAGATCTCTTCCCTGGCCTCCTGTTGACTGCTAGTACTTCCCCGTGTGACCCCTTTTATGGCATTTTTTGAGCCTGTTAAACACAGGCTCAAAAAATGACGCGAGTATAATTAGGAGGGAAGCATTTTATTGGTCGAAAAATAGAAACACTTTAAAATATTATTTTATTTTTCGACTGGAACTCGTGCGTCGGGCCTATGCGCAAACGATGATAATGGTCATTTTGTGACGGGGCCTTGTCCCATTCACATCCGGCTCTCACTTTTGAGTATGTTAGTTTATTTGCCTGCAAATCAGCTGAGATATGTCTTATTTTATTTTATAACACTTTCAATGTGTATTATCCAAGTTTTCATCATTATAAACATTTGCCATTATTTACATTATATCCAATATTGAAATCTCAACCAACTGTAAAATTAATTAGTTTTTAGTATTTTTATACAATATACTAATTTGAAAAAGATAGTAAACATTTTGTTAAATCTCCATAATTTTGTATTTTCAAAGTGACTGACGTTTATAAACAATGTTTGGAAATAAACAAACAACGTTTTAATGTCATGTTTGTTTATTTTTGTGAAAGAAACTATATTTCTGTAAATAATACTGTTTCTTTCTATTTTTCTTATTTCGAAATTACATTTGAAATTTTTCCAGTGAAGAAAGGTCTGATGATAGTTTTGAGCCAGGGAGACAGTCTAAGGGAAAAAACACAAAAAAAAACGTACATACTACTATCAGGAGTAAAACTGAAGTCATATCTTATACACAAATTATGTTATTCTCCATCAAATTGTATGATCAGAGAAGTTTACAAGGAATAACTAGATTTCAGTCAAACTATAAAAAGTCCATTAGATCAAATAGAATATTGTTACTTTGTAACTGTTGTGTATACACCTAATTTAGATATAAATATGGGTTGGTAAATAGAATATTTAGTCAACCCATTATGCAGGAACAGTCTTCCCAAGAATATACCAAAACTAACTGTAAATATTGTGTACCTTTTCCTTGTTTCAATACATTTTGTTAACCAAATTATTATTCCATGCTTATTTTTGTTCTTCTTCTTGAATGAGTCTTCGTAATTGATCAATCTCTCCACTAATGTCATCTGTTTCCATCCTTGATTCCTGAAACATTTTGGATAAGATTCTTTCAGTTATAATTCTTTCATTATAAAATGTCTGGGGAAATATTTCACAGAATCAAGTAAATATACATATTTGAACTTTTCCATATTAAACATCAATTTGATTCCTGTAATGTAGAATGGTTGAATGCCTAATTAGGAGGAAAAAAGTACTTTAAAGTGCAAATTTAAGCAATTGTATTCAGTCTTTCAACATCTTGAATTGGACATTCCTGAAATATTTCATAAACAAAAGCCCTCAATTTGCCTATTATTTTTAAAAGATTATAAAATTTATATACTAGAAAGAACATTTAGCTGAAAAAGCTTCTAGTTTCATGGAGACTGGAATATTTCAGTCTCTTAGTGAAGCATTCAAGTGCTACTCTTATATAATCCTCACCACTATTGTTGGAGGTGATGAAGTTAATATTTAATAAATGCTTGTTTTTTATGAAAATGTTTTCTTTCATTCATTCAACAAAGGTTTATTTTTATATTTGGTGATTACAGATATTTCAAAAATTTTATATTCTTTCAGAAAATGAAACCTGTTGCAACAGTATTTTCACTATTGCCCGAAATAATAATGAAAAGGAAAGAAAAAAATGAAAATCAGATTCAATTACAAAGAAAAAATATTTATTTCTAACCAGCTAAATAAGGGTTCTTGCAAAAATTTGTCCCTTTTTGTTGAGAATAAGATAACCTATTCTCTGAGTAACACAATGTAAAAAAGCATAGCAAAAAACAAACTT